TCCTTCGCCTTTCAGAGCTTGCAGATTGCGGGAATACAGTTCGACCTGATCATCATACGCGTAGGGTTGGGAATTACTATGGAGCAGGAGCACACGAGGCTTGAGAGCATGCGCTTCCGGATGCAAGAGACGAGCACCGCCAGAATGGATCATGGCCTCGATGTACCTGTCTTGATTACCAAGAGCACCACCATGACAACAAGGACTGTAGACGAGAGTGATAGAAAGAGCATGAAGACCGGCAATTTCCCCCATGAGGGGTCGGATGCGGTTTGAGGAGTACTAGTTGCACCTTGCTTCAACTTGAAATCGAGCGTTACAGTCGTTATTCTTCTGTACAATATGCATTAGTGCCAAGTACCCAGTATATACCACAGACTTTAATTGTAGATTCAATCGTACCTATGACGCCTTGCGATAGTTTCCGATAGCAGAATATAAACTTTCTGGTGACTTCAGACGAACTATGGTAGACACAATGGTGCGGATCGTACGGTTAATTTTGATCCATTCCGCCATTTCCTTCTAGGAGGGAACGCCAGGGGATTGAATATTGAGTTATGACGCAGAGTCCACATTATAAGCGATATGCACTATCGGGACTGGCCGCTCGTTGTCAGAAGGGGAGGGACTACTGTATGATAGATTCGTCCCTTAACAATGAGACGGATAGCCCTGATTTTGTTTCATCGATCCATGAATTGAGATATGCACCCTCGACGTGTATCTGAAATCCTAGAATGAGAAGCATCACGGCGGGAATGGTGTTTTAGCATGCATCTGCACGCGGAGACCTACGGGGCATCTGTGGGTTCGCTAATACCTAATACCGCGGCCTTGTTCATCAAATTCCAAACACTAATATGAGACATGTCCAGGCTGTCCCTAGACCAAGACTAGTTGAGAGTGTCACTCTCGCTTCACCGTCAGAATAGCTTTGTGATGTGTGATATTGAGAAGCAAAGATGAACATTCACAACGCACATAAGATAACGTATGTTCATTGCTTGCCGATAATACAAACGAGACGTGATGCAGCGATTCGCTTTCGCGAGCACAGTACTATCTACCCTATCCATCCAATGTCTGAGCATGCATCACGAAACTCCTCAAACCCTCGACAGCATCCATATACACGAATCACTTCGGAACGCCACTCAGCTTGCTTTAAATAACTCCCATGCTACTGCTCCAAAGACCAAGCTCCCAAATCCACAGCAAGCGCTCTCATCACTCGCATTCGAATAGCCACAGCGACTAGAAGGCTTCTAGGTACGCCGACGTACAACCGGCTTCGATGCACCGAGAGTCGTGGATTGTGCCGCAGCACGTATCCGGGCCGACCGACGCAAGGTCGTATGTGGTTCCTGCAGTGTCTGCGTCTCGGAGCGAGAGCTGTTCGGCTGAGGTCGAGGCGGGGGAGTAGGTGATCGGCGACTGGGACCAGCTTCCGCGGAGGTCTGCTGGTGTGTGCGCGAGCGTTGCCCACCTGTGCCGGCCTTGGCGCTCGACTTTCCTGGCTTTGGCTTTGTCTTTGTCTTCTTCGTTGGCCGTTCGTCGTCGGCCGCTTGCGTCGCCCGACGCTTGCCGAGGCGGGTTCGTTCGTGG